GAGCGATGGCAGCATTGATCGCTACAAAGCTAGGCTCGTGGTCAGTGGTAACCGCCAGATACAGGGAATTGATTATGACGAAACCTTTGCTCCGGTTGCCAAAATGGTCACGGTACGTACTATTTTGGCTATAGCTGCATCCCGTGGTTGGGAAACACATCAAATGGATGTGGACAACGCTTTTTTACATGGTGATCTCCAAGAGGAGGTATATATGCATTTGCCCCCCGGCTACTCCTCTACTAAATCCGGACAGGTGTGCAAATTACTTCGGTCACTTTATGGGCTTCGTCAGGCCCCACGTTGTTGGTTTTCGAAGCTAACTAATGCACTTCTTTCCTATGGGTTTTCTCAGTCACATGCTGATTATTCTTTATTTACTCTTCACCGTGGTGATCACCTATTATGTATTCTTGTCTACGTTGATGATTTACTCATTACTGGTACTAGTCCTGAGATGATTTCTATGTTTAAATCATATTTGGCACGCACATTTCCTGTCAAGGACTTGGGTTTTATGAAATACTTTCTTGGTCTCGAAGTTGCACGGAGTCCGCGTGGTATTTTCTTATGTCAACGGAAGTATGTTCTGGATATTTTGGCTGAGACAGGACTGACAGGGGCCAAACCCGCTGATTTTCCTATGCCTCAAAATCATGGCCTTCAATCTGACGCTGGCCCATTTTTCTCGGATCCAGAAAGATATCGGCGTCTGGTTGGAAAGTTGATTTATCTTACGCTCACCCGACCCGATATTAACTATTCGGTCCATATACTTTCCCAATTTATGCAAGAGCCTCGACAGGCTCATTGGGATGCTGTCATCCGCGTACTTCGCTATCTCAAGGGCCACCCCGGCCAAGGTATTGTATACCGGCGTGATTCTCCTCTTGAAATTCTTGGGTATTGTGATTCGGATTGGGCTAGTTGTACAAAAACACGACGATCCGTTACGGGCTATTTTGTGACACTTGGGGGGTCCCCTATTTCTTGGCGGACAAAGAAGCAAGCTACGGTCTCTCGCTCCTCCGCTGAGGCGGAATATCGCTCCATGGCCACGCTTACTTGTGAACTTTTGTGGTTACGAAGCTTATTTTCATCCTTGCGAATTAAGCTCCCCCCACTGAAGCTCTTTTGTGATAACAAAGCAGCTCTGCATATCGCTTCAAATCCCGTTTTCCATGAGCGTACTAAACACATAGAGCTTGACTGCCATTTTATTCGTGATCATGTGAAGTCAGGTGCTGTTATTCCTTGCTACATGTCCACTTCTGAACAATTGGCAGACATATTCACTAAAGCTTTGGGTGCTTCTCAGTTTCACTATCTTCTTGCCAAGATGGGCATTCATGATCCCCATGCTCCATCTTGAGGGGGGTGTTGGTATTATTTAGTCCGCATACATATTTTATTGTAAATAATTGTATTATTTATATTTTTCTAATCTTATCACTTAGCTGGTAACGGAGCCCATGCTTCTTTCCTTACGTGTAGCAGTAGAAGTCTAGCACTTGTAACTAATATAGTACGTATACTAGGCACTCAAGATTGTATATATATTGAGGCATGCTTTTACATGCGATCAACACAGAAATAAAATTCTTTCACTCTTCCGTCTCTTATTTAATTTCATGACTACTAATTATGATAAGTGGACGGCGAAAGGCCATAATTACATAATTATATCAATTAGTCAAAAATACACATAAACTTTTGTTGACTTTAAAATTTTATATTCAGCTAGTATTGGCATGCGGCGAGATGTGCGTCTGCCGTGCCCAACAGGAACTACAATTTTAAAGTAAAGAGAGCATAACAATGATAAGTGAAATCAACATAACAAAGTTAGAGCGAGTAAACAGTAGCAATAAAAATTACAACAATAGCTCAAACTTTAAGAAGCTTCTCAGATTTAGATTGAAATCTGTAAGCTTACACATTTAGACGGAACTATGCTAGCCATCAGATTTCGGCAGCTCACAGATTTTCATCTACTGCAATCAGAATCAGTTATCGTTTACTTGAGGTATGACATTGAAGATAGTCCATACTTGGATCAAGGCTGCCTCCAATTGCAAAGCCAAACAGTCCTTTGTCAGTTGTGAAAGGGGTTTAATTAGCAATTGTTTCTAGAGTGTCATTCTAACGCCCGTACTTTTTATATACCTTTTAGTTTTTAAATAATCAATATGATCATGTTTTGACAAATGGTTTGAGTGCTATGCATGTGAAGAATAAGGATATTATGTGATTACGAATTTTGTGGTAATTGTATTTGAACTTACATGATTGTATTATGTTTGAATGTAGGCGACGGTATCCAATGAGCAACGAAACTAAATCGTAATAATTATTGTAGTTGTCATGTTAGATAGTACTTGGGTGTTGAAATGTAGTTTAAAATGTCACCGGGAGTGTATGATGTAGGAACGGTAACAATTGGGGTCAGTTTAGAGCGAAAAATGACGTTTTCGGCACCCGAATGGCCTCAAACCGGCGCCGGTCGAAAACAGAATGTTTAGTCGGTGAAAAGGAAGAATAACCGGCGCCGGTCATGGCCAAACCGGCACCGTTCCGGTTAGTTTTGGGCAGGTCGGTTAAAAATCGCATTTAAGCGTAGAAACCCCTTTGAGCACCAAAATCGATCTAAACTCGTTCCTCTCTCTACAAATCGATACTAAACCATTCCTAAGGTGATTAAAGGCCAAATTAAACCTATTCTTCATCAAGGATCATCACTTGGTAAGCTTTTACACTTTACATGAAGTATTTCTTCTATATTTTGAGTTAGAGTTCTTGGTTGTAGATTTTGCTAGGGTTGATTAATGTAGGGTTGATTCTATGAAAGTTAATGGTTTTTCTTAATAAGGTTGTTATGGAGTTGTTTTTCATCCTTGATTAAAAACCCTTGTGAAGTTTTGAGTATTTAGCTACCCCAAAGTTTTACTCAAATTAATGAAAGAAGTTGGGTAGTTTCTTGATGTCGACGGGCTGGTTCTAAATAGATACATGTAGTCCTTGATATTATGAGAATTAGTTGATGGATGATGAGCCTTGGTTTATGAAATTCAATCGTATCTTAGTTATCTAGCCACCCCGAAGATATGCCCGATTTTATGTAGGATATCGGGAGTTTTCTTACTTATAAGGGTTGATTGGTGAACTTCCTCTCATCTTTAAGTCTAGGGATTTTTCTACAGACATGGATTTAAGTTTGAATAAATGTGAAACTATGTTGATCAAGTGTAAATCATATATATAGTTGCTCATCGAAGAACCGTTGCTCGTGGATGCCGGACACACACACAAGTGTAAATACTCCGCAGGAACCAGGTAAGTCACCACCACCTATACATGATAGTTCTAAATAAAGTATGGAAGATTACCTAATTGTGAATATGATATATGTGCATGGGTACTTGAAATCGTATGGTATGAAATATGTGAATTCCATGTTATATGTATGATGTGTGTTTTCTCGCACTTAAAAATGATGTAGTAAAGTGGTTGAAAGTACGAGTATCGTCTCCACAGGGACAGACAAAAGAGAATTAAAGATTAACTAAATTCAGCGAATAAAAATAAAATAAAATAAAATGCAAGTGTGCGAGATTGATTGATTGAATAAAAATTAAATTAAACTAATGCGAATGAGCGAATAAAATAAATGTTTGGTTTCTTTCTAATTAACGACAAAGGGAACAGGGATTGATTCCGGGGTAATCAGATTTCTGGCAGAACAGGCCTAATTACATGAATTTAAATTAATTGAGCCTAGCTAATCATTGCTAAGTTCTTACCGCTCTCGCGGCGTAGAGTACAATAATTTAGGGGATCAGGCTGATCTCTCATGCGACAAGATCCTAAATTATTGCCAAAACGAGCGAGCTTACGGCTCCTTAATCGCTACTAATCTCTTAGCGAATGATTAAGTGTGTGTGAAGGTGTCCTAGAATAAATTAGATCTCTCTTAATTCATTCTACATGCAATTGTAATTCTAGCTGCAGTTTAGATTACAAGAGATATCAGTTAAATTATTCAAACACAAATTAAACGGCATTCAGCAATTAAACCGACAAGAATCTAGCCATACATCATGATTAACCCCTTCATCAACCCCAAATCCCTAATTAAACTACTCACAATTCATAATTGAAGAATCAACAGAATTGGGATGAATAGAAATAATTGTCATTAATTAAAAAGATGAACTTACAAATAATCTCAGGGTCTTGGAAGAAAATAGCGTAAAAACGGTGTTAAATTCGTCCCTAGGCCTCTGCGTAATGTTCGCAACCCCTCAAAAGGGTTAGGGAGGCCTTATTTATAGAAAAAGAGGGGGAAAAACCAATTCTGGCCGAGTTATGGATGATGATGATTTATCCCGTGCATGCTTAGAATATCCGATCCTAGTTATCAGTTCTTTTTTAAGTTTTTAATTAGCTGTTTACTTTTACAATTTGAATTATTATTAAAATTATTTCTGGTATTATTAGAAATATTTCACACATAAAGTGTCCTCACTCCTCAGTCCTCACTACTATAATGAATCTAATTAACAAGAAACTTTTTCCTATCGAAATATGGAGTATTCCATTCTGAATGGGTTAGCTACAAATTTGGATGAGACTTGGTACTCCTCTATGAAATCTCCCTTTGTAAATAATATATACTTCTCTGCATTCATTTTTAGTAAATAGATCCCGAAAGTTAACCAAGTTGAGTAATAGCTTTCCATCGAGTGATATACGTCTAGTAATAATAAACTAATACGGATTAACTAATTAGAAGTACGACGTACTTCGTAATAAAAATTTGACACTCGCTAAAAAGCAATTGGTATCAGACACTGCATAATACTTCAATTCTTCTTTGGTGACAACTTCGGTACCCATTTAAAAAATTGGATATCGTACCTATCATGCATTTGATTGGTCCAAATCATTAAATCCCTTTTAATTTAGATTTAAATAATTCAACTGCATGATTCTGATTGATTCTTTGCACTCGTACTCGCTTTTCAAGTTGTGCCTAGTAATAAACTACAAGCAATTGGTAGGAGACACTCCATAAAAATGTGAGAATCATGACCTCTCATTCATGCAATTTGCAATCTTCTTAATCAATACTCCGTACAAGTAATCAAATTTGCTACACATCCAGTTACTAAAAGTATCCCGATGTCAACTGCCGTTTCAGCCCCGACGGAACCTTATCTTTCTTTCCTTAGTCTAGGGCCAGAGTGTTTGGAGAGCCAAGACCGTCAAGTCAATCTGTTCCCATGTCAAACCCCCGACGGAACATATTTCATAACCTGTTCCTAGAACCTCAAATGCGACGAGCTCATGAACATGTCAACATTCCAACCCAAAGACCTCCAGGACCAGATGTGATCGTCATCCCTTCACCAACTAGACCAGAAGCAGCTCAAGGAGTCGATCCAAATATCGTGACGACAAGACAAATCCCAGCACGCCCAACGGATCCAATGTTCGTCATTTTGGACCAACTAAAGCAGAGGCAAGATAAAATCAACGGCATCCTTGGGGTACCACCACCCTTGGACCTCGCTTCACATACATGCTATGCTAGCTCTTCCTTTTTTCGACAGATAACCGATATCTAGATCCCTAGAAAATTCGTTGTCCCGTCAATGAAGCTATTTCACGAAAGTTCTGGCCCGTTGGAGCATATCGCCCAATACAAACAACGAATGCTGGCGGTTTAACATGAGGCATGCATGTTTAGAGCGTTCAGAGCGACGTTGACAAGACCCGCCTTGACGTGGTTCGCCAACTTACCCATTGAAGGAATCAGCTCATTTGCAAAACTTGTCAACCTATTCAACCTGCAATTTTTGAGTAGTCATGTTCTCTAGACACAAACCAGCGACCTATACCGGATTATACAGCGACGGAAGGCATCATTGAGGGACTACTTGCAACGTTATAATAAGGAAAATGTGTCGATTCCCAGGTGCGACGTATGTGGTGTGTGTTTTTATGAATTTCATCTACAATATATATAACTTTAAGGATGTTTTTAATTATATTGAATTTTCTTATCTAATAGGAAATCTCCTACAGTATATATTTTCTACCAAGCATCTTCATTTAATTAATTCACTTATTTTTGGATTTTAAATTTTATTCTTGAGGAAATTTAGGAAACGAAATAAATAAAGACCAAACTATTTTTTATTATCGAAACATACATGCAGATATACTAAATTAATATACATGCATATATATATGTATATATATATATATATATATATATATATATATATATACATACTAGATTAATTAAATATATGTGTTGGGTTAATGCCCCGATACTGGGAATCGGCACAATACTCACTCCGGACGAGCACTTTGTCATGGTGCGTCAAAATAAATCGATATTAACACTTATACGTAGTATAAAGTAGATTTCGTATCCACAGGGAAAAGAATAATTCTCTTTTTATAAAACTAGTAAATAAAAAGGGGGTTTTTGGGGTTTGAATGATTTAATTTAATTGAATACTAAAATAAACAACTTATATATATGATTTAATTCAAAGATAAAAAAACTTGACATTGCTACTTTCCACTTGTTGATATATTTTAGTCGATCATTGTTATATCTATAACTTATCCCCTCCCGAATACTCAATCGAGGAGTATCTCCAATTAATCGAGGGTAGTTATTAACAACGACCGTCGTTCATTAATAACCCTTAATTACTATTAATCAAATATAGAACAACGCCGTATACCGATTTAATAGTAGCATTTAATCTCTTAACTCCTTCATGAAATCAATTGAGATTGATAACCTCAACACAACGGTTTCGGTTTAACCAACAAAATTAATTCATCTTAAGTTTATTAACCACGACCGTGCATTAATAAACCGAAGTTACTTACTTGTGAAATTAAACCATCAACGATTAACCATCGGTTCGTTGATCGATTCTAGTAGTAATTAATGTCGAGATATTAACTAATTGTCATCTTAGCAACACTCCCCAACATTATATAGAGATAGATTAAGGGAAGAATTAATATTCAAGGGAAGAAGTTAAGAAAAGAACTCACAACTTTAATAATCAACAAGCTTCAAGAGCAACACCAAGAAATGGTAGTTTAGCTCCTCATTTGGAGACTAAACATGCTATAAAAATATAAAAGAAATACTATTCTAAACTGAGCTTAAGAGTATGGAAGAAGGAGTGATTATTTGTGAAGGAAAAGTATGCTATTTATAGGTGTTTTTCAACACCTTGGGCCGGGTACCCGCCCGGGTTAGGTACCTATCCGACCGGGTCTGGTCAAAATCATATATCCTCCACGTTCTGGTGATCTTCAGCACAATTTTTTGTCTCGGGTCAAGTCAGACCCGACCGGGTCAATTAGGGGACCCGGCCGGGTCTTGAAGCTTCATGTGATTCTTCGGAGTTTACCTCAGACCCGACCGGGTCCAGTGATTTCCTGTGATGCTTCGGTTGTTAAATCAGACCCGACCGGGTGAAGTCTTCTACCCGGTGGGGTATTTGCTCCTGGACAGTCAAAATTCCTTTTTCTTCACTTCAAAGCCCTCCTCTTCAACACCATAATTCGTAATTCTACTTTACAACTTACAAATGAAGATTAAAATGCAATTACAACTAAAATCACACAAATGTTTACAAACTAAATAAAACAATAAACAATCCAAACAAATTAAACATAAAAATATACATTTATGCACTACTAATTAGTGCATATCAACTCCTCCGATGAACGTTTGGGCCCAACAGGGAGGAAGGCCTAGACGAACGTCTCCAACGAACCAGTGACGATTATTCACCAGGGCCCAAGGCAACTATGACGTACGTCTCCACCCCGGGCCCTCAGCTCAAGGAGTTCTAGCCCAAGGTTAGCCAGCATACTCCTATACCAACAGCCAGAAGACACACGGCCTCCCACCCTTGGTGGCATCACCGAGAACAGGCCCAAGACGCATTTAATGCTGAAGATTTGGTGGTTGACACTCTAGCCATCCACATCTCTCCACGTCAGCATACTCACATGCCCATTGGTAGTATACATAGTAGCATTTATTTCATTGAAAAGAGTTGGCAACTCTTACGCCATAACATTCTAGCACTCTTATTGCTCTTAAGCAATGTTCGCAGCTCTTCGACTTGTGAAAAAGACGAACGGCCATCGACCAGTAGCATTAGTGCAGTGTAACGAGTCCTTATTATAACTTAATTAATAACACTCAGCCCACTGTTGCATACATTTCTAAGCCCATCTTGCTTGCTATTTCCTCGTATTCACATACACTCACCGCTCGAGACCCACATGTTACGTGTTAGGCCTACGGGTTGATAAAGTGAGATGTGTGGACTATGAGGATTCATTTGAGGCACTATTCATTTTGTAGTTTAATGATATATTTTAGTGACAGAACAAGTTTCTTTGCTATTTAGTATTTACCGACAAAACTGGCTGGCGGACCAATCCGCCACTAAACATCGGCAGATACTAGTCTATTTTAATATCTGACATTAAATAGCATGGAAAGGACTTCCGCCTCATAATTTTGATATGTTATTTCTTACACTTTAATACGAGTATATCAATACTTTTTCCTAGAGGACTTTAATTATAAGATCAAAATTATTCTTCCATTGTCTGATCTTAGAATGTATGGAGTAATAGATTTAAATGTCATACTAGTGAAAAAATTTCATGGCTAAAGCGTCAAATAGGTACATGAACTAACTTAAAGTGTTCAATTAGCCCCTTATATAGGAGGTTCTGCCTGGCCGTCGCCAATTAGGGCGGTTCCCGGTTGAATTTTTTGATGAAATTTTTTGAGCATCTTCTTCATTAAGTCTAGTTTACCCATATCAAATTTCAATTAAATATTAAATCGGGAAGGCAGTCAAATGATTTTCCAAAATGTACTGTGTTGTTTAACTGCGCAGTTATCTTCAAAAAATCATTTGACTGCCTTTGCGGTTGAGTTTTTAGCTGAAATTTGGTATGGATAAACTAGACTTAATGAAGAAGATGCTCAAAAAATTTCATCAAAAAATTGCACCGGAAACCGCCCCAATTGGCGACGGCCGGGCAGAACCTCCTATATAAGGGGCTAATTGAACACTTTAAGTTAGTTCATGTACCTATTTGACCCTTTAGCCAATTTTCATCGTGTATGATTTAATGGAATTTTTTGAATACAAAATAGCCACAGTCCTACACTAGTGAATTTGTTTTGCTATGCTATACTATTAGAAAAAAATCCCCGTGCAGAAAAATTTCCGCTTCCTACATTAATGAAAAAATTCCGCCACCTTGACTCGAAATCATGGATTCATCCCTGATTACTATGAAGTACAGAGTAGTTTTTATTTTCCTACAAAGCCAATGTTGGATAACATAAAATGCCCCCATGTGAATTCAGGGGCGGAGGTGGAGGGGTGACCAACCGGGCCAGCCCAAATTTCAAAATTGTTTATATTTTCAATTTAAAAATTGAAGTATAGAAAATTAAATATCTGTAAAAATTCTTTGTACCGACCCAGCTCAACTCTTACTCCTGGCTACACCTCATGATATATATTATACGAATTATATATGGTTCATTGAAAATAACCCATCTTTGAAAGTTATTAATCACATTTTAATCTTGTCAATTATACATATTTTAGTCATTTACCACGTATCTGATACGTAGTATTATACGTAGTATGATCTTAAGTTAATCAATCATCTCTCCTCCAAATTACCAAACTGGCCATACGTATTGTGTTCCCTGTTTCCTAAGAGAGAATAATCGCCGCCTCAAAAACAAATACTCCGTCCGTATGTACGTAGTAGTAGTATAAAAAGAATCATGAATTAAACCCTAACTGCACTCTTTGATTTACGAAGCTCCGTATAGCCGGCCGGCGCCTGATGGTGCTCATTCCTTGTTACGGAGTCCGAAAAGACATCCTGCGATCAGTTGGGAAGAATCCATTGAAAATACTACCCCCAGAAATCATCCGCAATATATTTCATAGGTTGCAGGTGAAGTATCTATTCAGATCCTAGTGTGTATGTCGAGAGTGGAACTCCTTCATTATTTATCACTTCAAGGTCGCCCACCTTCCAAAACTGCAACTTCTGGTCGTCTTTCTAAGGCGCGGAAAAGGAAGAAGATTAACCATCAGATCAATGGGCCATGATCTTAACATTGAAAGGGTAACCTCCTTCAGAGAGCCTTTATTCTTTCATGGTGAACTCACAAGAATTTTGTGTTCCTGCAATGGAGTTGTGCTTGTTGCCGCTGGACAAAATGTTTTGTTGTGGAACCCCATTTCTAGGTGGTGCAGAGTTGTGCTGAAACACAGATCTCTTAGGAATCCCGGAAATAGTGTTCTTGGGGGCATTTGTTATGATTCCTCCACAAAGGATTACAAATTTGTGTTTTTTATAAGCCGTGAAAGTGGGTTTTCTGGTCGTGCTCTTGGTGGATTTGTTTTTTCTGCCAGCCTGCAAAACAACAAAGCCTGGACACTTCTGTCCTTCCCATATAATTCGTACTCTCCCCGAAGCGGTGTCAACTTTAACAATACATTTCATTGGAGGGTAAGTGACGTCAAGCGTCCCTGTGCACTACTCAAACCCCATCAACATGATTATAGTGAATCAGATTCCACTGGATTGGATGATTATAGTGAATCAGATTCCAGTGGATTGGATGATTATAGTGAATCAGATTCCAGTGGATTCGACTCCGATGAGGATGGTTATGGTTGGGTTTGGGACAACTCTTTGGGATGCAATAAGATTGCTTATTTCGATCCCATAAACGAAGAGTTCAAGACATTGCCCTCTCCTGACCCGTGCAACACGGAAGAAGAAGATTCCATAGTCGGACTTGGGATCATAGATGATTGTTTATGCATGGCTCGCACGGATGACAAGATGCAAATGGTTCAAGTTTTGATTATG